ATATATATATATATATATATATATATATATATATATATTTATATATATATATATATATATATATATATATATATATATATATATATATATATATATATATTATATATATATATATATATATATATATATATATATATATATATATATATATATATATATATATATATATATATATATATATATATATATATATATATATATATATATATATATATATATATATATATATATATATATATATATATATATATATATATATATATATATATATATATATATATATATATATATATATATATATATATATATATATATATATATATATATATATATATATATATATATATATATATATATATATATATATATATATATATATATATATATATATATATATATATATATATATATATATATATATATATATATATATATATATATATATATATATATATATATATATATATATATATATATATATATATATATATATATATATATATATATATATATATATATATATATATATATATATATATATATATATATATATATATATATATATATATATATATATATATATATATATATATATATATATATATATATATATATATATATATATATATATATATATATATATATATATATATATCGAATCCTGTTTGCCCTACAGTCCAAGCACATGGTGAATTGAAGAAACTAAATTCTATGTAGTGTACGACAGTGTTTGTGAATGAGAGTGTATGGGTGTTTCCCAATACTGGGATGTGGTTGGAAGGGTATCCGCTGCATAAAACATATGCTGGAATAGTTGGCAGTTCATTCCACTGTGGCGACCCCTGATAAATAAGGGACTAAGCCAAAGGAAAATGAATGAATGAACATAATATTGTCACTTGTAACGGGACTTGTGGCCGAGTGTGTAACGGGCTCATGGGTAATGATGTTCAACAGGAGTCAGCGCTCGGCTCTCTGTATGTCTGATCTATGAACTCTGTGATTGGAGGGCGTGTTTGATTGTTGCACGCTCCGTCTGGTCCTCGCGCAGACCTCTAAGGTGGTCATCTATCAGCCTGACAGTACACCTGGCAAACACAAGCAGACACACACACATACACACTTACCGTCTCGCAGTTGGGCATAGACGGGTACAACATCACCGGAATGTTCTCTCTACATGTCCTGCCAGCATGTTTCTCCAGCAGATGTGGGTCTGACATCAGGCGCCACTGATTTGACACCAATAGTGTTTATAGGCATACACCACACATGACTCAAAAACAGAAAACTCAACCTCAGGAAAACAAAACAAAACAGGAAAAGTCTTTAATTAAAATTTTAATCTTTAATTAACTTTAAATTTTTCGAAACAAGTTTTTCTTTGTTTGTTTTAAAGCTTAACAAATCACAGAGCAATTCATTTCTGAGAATGGACGATTGTCTTAATAATCCTGGACAAGTGTCCAGATAAGAATTCTGGCTCAAATGATTCGTTCAGAGTGAATCTCCAGTTAATTGTTCACCGACTCCAATTATTTGGCAAAAGTGAATCACAAGTTAATGATTCAGTCAGTTTCAGCCTCTAGTTAATTATTGACCAAATCATTTAAGCCAGTGAATCATTAACTAGAGGTTAAATCTGAATGGATCATTTGACTCACTGAATCATTAACTTGTGAATCACTCTTGTCAAATAATTTGAGTAAATTTTGTTCAGAGTGAATCTCCATTTAATAGTTCACTAACTCAGATCATTTGGCAAGAGTGAGTAAATCACAAGCTAATGATTTACTGAGTAAAATGATCATGTCAGATTCAGCCTTCAGTTGATGGTTCATTGGCTCGAATTATTTGTTTAGAGTGAATCTTCAGTTTATAGTTCACAGACACAAAATATTTGGCAAGAGAGAATCACAAGTTAATGATTCACTGATTCAAATGATTTGTTCTGAGCAAACCTTCAGTTAATAGTTTACCAACTCAAATTATTTGTCAAAAAGACTGAATCACAAGTAATGATTCACTGATTCAAATGATCCTTTCAGATTCAGCCTTCAGTTAATGATTCACTGGCTCACGATTTGGTAAGAGTAAATCTCCAGTTAGTAGTTAACTAACTCAAATTATCTGTCAAGAATAGTGAATCACAAGTTAATGATTCACTGATTCAAATAATACGGTCAGATTCAGCCTCTATTTAATGATTCACTGGCTCAAATGATTTGGTAAGAGTGAATCTCCAGTAAAAGTTCACCGACACCAAATATTTTGGCAAGAGTGAACCACAAGTTAATGATTCTCTGATTCAAATGATTTGTTCAGAGCAAATCTTCAGTTGCTAGTTCACTAACACACATTATTTGTCAAGAAGAGTGAATCACAAGGTTATGATTTACTGATTCAAATGATCCAGTGAAATTCAGCCTCCAGTTAATGATTCACCGGCTCAAATGAGTCGGTAAGAGTGATTTTCTACTTAATAGTTCACTGACACCAAATATTTTGTCGAGTGAAATCACAAGTTAATGATTCACTGATTCAAATGATTCGTTTAGAGTGAATTGCCAATTAATAGTTCACTGACTCAAATTATTTGGCAAGAGTGAATTACAATTTAATGATTCACTGATTAAAATTAGCCAGTGAGATTGAACCTGCAGTTAATGATTCACTGGCTCAAATGATTTGTTCAGAGTGAACCTTCAGTTTATAGTTCACAGACTCAAATTATTTGGCAAGAGTGACTCACAGGTTAATGTTTCACTGATTCAAACGATTTGTTCAGAGCAAATCTCCAGTTAATATTTCACTAACTCAAATTATTTGTCAAGAATAAAGTGAATCACAAGTTAATGATTCACTGATTAAACCGATACAGTCTGATTCAGCCTCCAGTTAATGATTCACTTGCTCAACTGATTTGCTAAGAGTGAATTTCCACTTAATAGTTTACTGACACCAAATATTTCGGCAAGAGTGAATCACAAGTTAATGATTCACTGATTCAAATGATTCATTCAGAGTGAATCTCCAGTTAATAGTTCACTGACTCAAATTCTTTGTTCCTTGTCAAGAAAAGTGAATCACAAGTTTAAGATTCACTGATTCAAATGATCCATCCAGATTTAGCTCACAGTTAACGATTCACTGGCTCAAATGATTTGTTCAGAGTGAATCTCTAGTTAATAGTTCACTTAATCAAATCATTTGGCAGTAGTAAATCACACGTTAATAATCCACAGATTCAAATGATTCGTTCAGAGCAAATCTTCAGTTAATAGCTCACAAACTCCAATTATTTGGCTAGAAGAGTGAATCGCAAGTTAATGATTCACTGAGTCAAATGATCCAGTGAGATTTAACCTGCGGTTAATGATTCACTGGATTAAATGATTCAGTCAGAGTGAATTTCCCATCAATTACTCGGTGACTCAAATTATTTGACAAGAGTGAATCGCAAATTCCTAATTTACAGAAGAGCTGATTACTACAAATGTAATCGATATAATCCATTAAATTGTAGTAATCAACTCTGGGTTTAAAATTATAATAATACTGCATCACTTCCTGTCTGTAAACTATTTATTTGATTTGCTCATTATATTTGTTAATTAAGCAATACAAAGCTTGTCTTTACTTTATTCTGTAGTTATAATATTAGTTCATAAAATAAAGACAAGTTAATAATAATATCCAGTGTTTGCATTCAGAATATAGTGCAATACTGTGAATCTGTGACTAAACTGCTTCTCTTTAAATGCAGAGACGACTCCTTTATAATCTGACTTCCTGAAGAGTGGAATGAACCGTTCTGTTGTTTTGACTCTTTCTATTTCTGTGTTCTCTCTCAGATTGTGAGCGTGGGGAAACATGTGAAAGGATATCACTACATCGTCGCTAACCTGGTGAGTGCTGGCACGGGTTTCTCTCTCTAGCTCAGCCAGCGATGGAGCGCTGGAGGAAATGAAGGAATGCAGAGGACAGCGTGTCCTCTGGCTGTAATTCTCTGTGATTGAGCTGAATAATGTAGCGCTTCACTTTCCCCAATAAAACGCCAGCCTAGTATTACATTCTGGCACGTAAATCGTTCTGCATCAGTTATGCTCTAGACCTTCCTCAAATCATGTGTTGTTGAGGAGAAGTGCGCTGTTACTTGGCTAAGTGATAAGAGGAGGTGTGTTTTTACTGCTGGGTGATGCAATAGGTGAAAAGAATGCTACTCAATAAAACAAACTTGTGGCAGAACTCTTTGTACATATATATATATGCATGGAAAAATCATAGAACATCCACAGCCATGCTTCAGCAACAAAATACTTCTTTAAATTGCAAGTTATAAACCCATCATTTTATTTCCTCAATTTCATTACTACTTGGGATTTTACATCATGCAACTTTCTCAGAATTATGAATTAACGGATCATATATCTGATTTTTATTTATTTTTATTTTCTAAATTTAGTTTTTTACATAATTTTTCGATTACGTCTTAAAGTTCTGCCTTTTTCTCAGTTGATAATATTTTTTTCCTTACAGTTCAGACTTTAAAAAATGTTAAAGAAAATATTTTTGGGCCATAAAATACTAAAAAGGTTTTAAAATTGCAGCTTTAAGCTTACAATTCTGACTTGACAAAACTATTTCTAAGATTTAGAAATATTAATTTATATTTTGCAATATCATGTTCATATCTCACAATTATTGTTTACTGATTTATTAATTATCTCACAATTCATACATGTTTCCATGCAATTCTGAGGGCAAAAAGATGTAGGAAAAAAACATTATATATATATATATATATATATATATATATATATATATATATATATATACATATATATATATATATA